TATGATCTTACAAGAAAAGTTTTCTAAAAACATGAAATATTCGTATTATATCCTTTATTCATTATTGTGTGAAAATACTAGTATATCTATGAATTCCTATTGCTATTGCTGCACTGGGAAACATATATTCGTCAAAAGATGATCTGTAGAAATATCCTAGTACTGCGAACAGAAATAAATCAAACGATTTCACGCTTGGATATTTGACATTAACAGTATAGTGTTCAATATAAACCTGCTCTCCGACATCCACAATCAGAACCACATCCTGTTTTACAGCCACCGCTGTACTTGATGAGACCTTAAACTATGAAAGTTCCTTCTCTAAGGATGATACTCTCTTTAAATGCTGTTTCTAAAGACGATGTTTTCTCCTTTGTAACAAGATTTCATTTTATTTTATTAATATATACAATAAAAAAGTCTTCTGTACGTGTGTTTGTGACTGAACTCCTAAACGACTGGACGGATTTTGCTGAAAATTGTTAATGTGCCTCTGTGTGTCCTCGGATGGTCTAGATTCGCAATTAGGCCCAATCGGATTATAGGATTTTTTGAAAAACTACTTTTTTCCGTGATGTCGCACTCTGCTATTGCGCATACCGATGGATACATGCGCCAAGTTTATATTTTTCTTCAGTTTGTACACTGGATGCGCGATATTATATACCCGAAAATATCTCTATAGGAAATAAGGACACACTTAATCTTGCTTTTTAAAAAAAATCAAGTAGTTTTACAATCTGTGAAAGAATGTAAGAAAGTTTTCCATTGTTGACTTCAGAAAAATCGAAGGATACACTTGCGAATGAATACAGCCCTCGATCGTCAATATTTCTTCCAAATTTGAAGAAAAATATCTCTTCGTCCGTTGAACACAAGGTATACAAAATAACAAGAACATCCAATATCTTCTGATACGATTACAATGTTGTTATTAGATTGACTTTGAATACCAGTTTGAAAAGAAAGTACACCGAATCTTTTTGTACATCTTAAATTTATCTACAAAGTTAACTTTAAACGGCAATAAGCTAAAGAAATTTAGGTTAATTTAGTAAAAGATTTTATTCCACCATTCAATGCTCATACATAGCTCAGTTAATTTTCTCGTACCGTTTCCTTCGTCATCCTTCACGTTATCATACTACAATACAATTAAATGACATGAAATGAGACCCAAAACTTACCAGAAGTACCTAATAACCCAGGCTAAAAATTACATATCACCGTTAATATTGTCACACAATTTACCGTATAAAATTGAACTTGATTGGAAATGTTAGTCCATAGGTGCTAAATTGTAAACCCATATCTCCATTAATATTTACATACAACTCAGCACAAAATTCGTGCACAAATAGGGCGAATGTGTTGGGGGTTCAAAAGAGGAGTACCGTGTTCAATGAACGTGTTTATTATAATCGTGTGTTTATGTTCTACCTTCGTTTGTATGAATAAACAAAGATTCTACTACATATTCACCGAATTTTTTAGCACCAACTCGTAAAATCAGCCAAAATCTTTTATATTTATGTAGTCTGTAGTTATTAATAGCGAAATTTTAATAAATAAAAATCAAAAATAAAAGAATGGAAGATACTTGATCTTGAACCATTACATTCTTACGGTCGATAAAAAGTTATTCAATGTTGTATGTTACCAGTTTTTCTCATGTGCGAAATTAACTTTTAACGCTTCTTTCGCACGCTTTACTAATTTCAATTTGTTATGCTGCCAGTTTTTGTGAGTTAGTTTTAAATAACTTCTACGAAAGATATGCTTCATTGCTTGAATACATATTTATCGTTCTAGTTTAATGCTCTATGTCAGCATGCTCTAATTTGCGTATGTCTGCCAATATTTTATTTGTGCTTGAATAAATATGGACTTGTTATGATTGTGATGTTCCAGACTTGCGTGTGTTTTCAATGCGCTCATATTTTGTTACCGCATTGCTAGACGACTATATGATTGTATGTTGTAGTTTCATTATGGCATTGTCTCGCCACAAGGCATAGGTAGTCGTCCATGTCCTGTGGCGCATCATGAATGTTTAGCGATAACTGATAACTTGAAGCCTTTTGGCAATAATTCACTTCATTTCTTACGTCGATTTGTAACGCGTGGTTCCATTACTATACTCGCAGATTATAGACAGTTTACAAGGGACACTTTGTGGCCCATTCGCCCCATTCTTCCAAAAAGACCAAATCGTGTCCATCGGATGGAATAGATGATATTTCGGGATTTTAAAAGGGCGTGAGTTATTGATTATCTTTTAGATCAAACTTATCATCGGGCCTTACTATGCCACTCTTTTGAATAAATTGAAAGCAGGAGTTAGAACGGGCTAGTTACATTTACAAGGGTCGCACTGGCAAAAATTCCAATATGACAATTAATTTACCAATGGCTACCTCAGTAATAAAATTAATTTTCAAACCCCTTACCATGCGGAAGGTTGGCCTCTTATCTCCTCTGAGATCTGAAATTAAAAATCTGGTACTCTGTGGTTTGATTGAACTCCAATAAATACGAATATGGCCTTATTTGATTGAATTTATGTTAAATAAAGCAAAAGCTTTCAAGCTGCATGTTCCTTTAAACATTTCTGGATATAAAATACTAGCTGGATTCATAAAAGGAAATACAAGAAGGATAAAAAATTGCAATACATATCTTGTGATCCCATCCATGCCAAATTTGATCCTTACTTAAATATTATATCTTTACCACATAATATATTACTGGTGTGTATACTGGTACAAGAACCAAAGGAATGCTATTACTGAAATTAAATGTTAAATTCCCAAACAATAAAATAACATAACCAAAATCCTTTCCTTGGATTTGATTCTTATCAATAAATACCATACAAAATCATTTTGCTTATTTAAAAACCATCGTCTTTGTGAATAAAACGATTTCCGTTGAAGAAGATAACATACCGTCCATTAAATCGCTTGTAAAATTTAAACAAACGTTGGTAAGTGTAAAATCCAAATCCAGTAAAGTATATTCTAAGAATATGAAAAGTTGTTTCCATGGATGAATAGGAAGTTACTTATTACGAATAAAGTCTTAAATGCATCGATAATGCTGGCATATATGAAGGAAATGTCAAAGGTATTTAAATCTTCTATCTTTTGGTGCATTCATTCAAAACTTCAAACAATGCTGCGATTAAAAAGTGGAACAGATTTGGAAGCATACCCTAAATTACGCGCGTTTGTGAAAGCTTCAACCAAAAGATAGGTACAAGCCAAAGAAATGTTCTGCATTTACAGAAAGCGACCTAAGAGGATTTTTTATTTCACCCAGATGACAGTTTCAAAAGTCATACTTGAAGTATCATTACTTAGCAATTTTAAAGCACGTGTGTTTTAAAGGCCTTTTTTCGCACGCATTGGAGTGTTTAAAACGGATATTGTGATTCACGTATAATAAAAAAGTTAAAATAACTTACGTTAATGGACGTGAATAATAATCTCTTCTGGTAACGATTTGATCTCTCTTTGGAAAGGTAACTTCATTCATTCAATGTTCTCTGTTTATCACAATGTATGGCTGCGAAAATATCGCAGTTATGCGAAAATAGTAAAATTCTCACACTGAAAAATACGTGCGAACTCTTAGAAGGTTAACCTCGGCTCTGTCTAAAATACCTCCACACACTAGAACTAATGCTTATCTCAAAATGCACACCTTGTTATCACTTTTTATTTTCCGATATACTTTCGTTCTTGTTCGCTATGAAGCGGTACATGGGTATATTTCCGTATGTATACCAAACACTGAATTATAATTAAACTGGAACGCGCACTTGCCGGTCTCTGCCATAGAAACGTAGCGCGCCGAGAGAGATAACTGCAAGAAGATTGTATTTGTGTCTAGTATCGTAAGTATGCACATCTTCGAATATTCGAAAGAATTCTTGACGAGCCATATAGGGCACTACATCGATGTCAGTAGCACAAACCACTCGTACCCTAACTCCTGAGGCATACGGTAGACGACATTGGTCAATTTCTCGATTTCAGGATGCTTGGCTTGCGATAACCCGCGCGTGAAAGCCTGTTGGCTGTAGCTGCATGCAACTATGGAAATTATTACCATCCTTGTGATTGTCTCTTCCCGACGAAAAGTATTGGTTTACATATAACGAGTCTATACAAACATCAAACAGTTCCGTAATTTCCACATTGTAGTATGGGCTGATCCATCCGAATTCTTTATTGATAGAAGTTTGGTCAACCGATAATAATAGCTTCGCTTCGAGCACAATAAAGAACAGTAATATTGTGGGTTATATTTCTCTTTTTCTGTAGTAGGTTGCCATTAAAAACTGTAAATATTGCTCTTAGAATGCAAAAATATCAAGAAGTACCTACTGAAAATATTTCTTATAGGTACATGAAAAAACGCCCGACCGCCTGCAACCAACATCAGGTTGTTCCATGTCGACAATCACCTATCCTCCAGTAGCAGGTGTGGTTATTATTGGTAAAAAGCGTTGAGTGAAAAATTATTCAATGGTAAAAGCATTGTATTGTATAGATATGTATTGTAAAAGCATTGGTAAAAGCATAGTTGGTCTATGGTAAAAGTAAAATTTTTAGTTATTGATTATTATGCTCGACAGCAGTCTAAATTCCTTATGTTAATTAAAAAAATTAAAATTAAAATTAAAATTAAAATTAAAAAATTAATTAATTTATTATTTTATTTGGTTCCCCACTTTTTTTAGATGGTAAATCGCGTTTGAACCACCACCATCTTAATAGCATACTTGCTTTTTACTAAAAAAAACGGAGCGCAAAAATTGTAAAAGTAATTCTTTTGTTAAATATATGTACAGCTTGATGGTTTTTGGGCTATAACTTGTAGGTGATACAGAATAACAATCCTTCTTTATATCCTTAAGAACATGCATATCATTTTTCAAACCAATGGGACGACAGACATCAAGACAGACAGGGAAACAGACAAATAAAAATACAAAATTATTAGATCACTAATAACCGACGAATTTTGATGAAGACTGTAATTTTTAATTTACTACAATTGTTACATTTTCCAGTGAACGCAAAGTGAACAAGAAACTAAAACTTATGTATTGCTCTAACAACACAATTGTAAATTTTCGATCCAAGTCTGCCGAGATTTTCTTCGTTTATGTTCTTGCAGTTGTCTATGGATTGACGTACGCGATATTCTGCATCCGCCTCGTTCTGCTTTCCCAAATTATGTAAAACATCGCGTACCACATATTCACGAAATTTGTCGTAGTTGAACTCATTTTTGTCGTTTACAAAGTTCATCTTCTTAATCCAGCATTCGGAATACTTGTCCGCCAGAGGGAGGTTCAGTACGAATAGGTAGTCACCATCGAAAAATCTTTCCACTTGTTCTCTTCCTATGTTCAAGGCGGACATGCATTCGTAATCTTCAGGAGTGAGCGCGGAATCTGGTATGTCTACCTCAAATGTCTAAGGAAGCGTTGCTTCAAACTACAATGAAAGAAGGTGCAACAAATACTTACATGTCCAAAAAGACAGAGGGTTATTAACAGCAAGAAAATATGGTCCATTGTTTAAAAACTAGATTTATTTTCCAGTGATCGTTCTTAAATAGAAATAGGTAATCTTTGACTTTTGGTACATGGGTCAGATGGAATTGTTTATTATCATATGTGAAGGTGGTGACCTTACTATAAGTAGCCTCCTGAATCATTTTTGAAATATGCAATAGGGGCACAGAGCCCGCCACAATTACCTCGTTTTGAATAAACCCCTAATACCGCACATGTTCATTATTTTTTTGCTAATCAGCCTCTATTTTTAAATAAACTTTTAGTGTTCAAAAAAATGTTTTATGGTTTTAGGTACACGCTTATTAAATTAGGACTACGGAATTCAACTGTACTGTAAACCCCCATTGAACCATCTGTTGTATACGTGAATAACGTGTTCGTATTGCTCTTTTCAAAATTAATATTTGCGCACTTTAACAATTTAGAATGTGTTAACGTGCATATTAACTATGTAATAGACCGATTGCTCCTAATTTAAAGGAAATATCGCACTTTAACGGATCAGAACCGTTAATCTGCAGATTAATCCGTTAATGTGCACTTTAAGTTTTTCTAACATTAGCGGGAACAAATACAAGAAATACACTATATTTAATGGCGTTTGATAATGCTTTATGAACAAGATACTATCTTTTAGAGTATCGCATAACGCAGTGGTTCTCAAAGTGGGTGCCGCGGCACAGTATTTCATACGGGTGCCGCCGAGGGTGCCGCGAAATTTTTAAATATATAATTAACTTAAAATTACTTAAATTAAAAAAAGGAATTAAAACAATTAAAAAAAATTAATATTAGTTTTTTACTACAATTCTATGATTTTAAGTTTATGATTTCATTTCTATGGTTCACAATTCATTCATCAATCATATGCTGGTAGGTATTGCTTTACGTCTCACTTTCTTACTGTTATAACTCCCATTTTCAATATGTCTTTTCAACTAATCTGTTTAAGTACTACGTTATTCCTTCACTTCTCAGTCTCTCAGTGGCTCGGTAAGTGGTGTAACGTAAATATTAGAAAAAAAGTGGCACTTCTCTCGCACAATCATTCGCTCCCTTCTTTTTGCCGCAATCTATTATAAAAAAAGCGCGATCTCGGGGGGTTCGAACCCGCGTCATCATAATGGAAAGGCGGTGGCCTTGCATTTGTAGTTTGCGCTACGAACCGCCCTACTTGATATTAAATATCGCTTATTAAGCGACAAACTAATACGTATAATTAATAATAACATTAAAATCATGGGGATCCAAAACACAAACATACCCCATGAAAATATTTAATTGTTGTACAATTTAAATTAAAGGTGTTTACAGCGTACAACGCTACTAGTTTCTGCAAAAAACAATGCCATCATCAGGCTAACGTTACAATGAACGTGAAGTTTAAAGTTGCAAAATTGTTTAAAAATTGAAATAGAGGACAACAAAGTTACATCATAAAATTTAGTTGGAAAGAAGTTCAAAAATATTTGAGCGGAGAAGGACTAGGTACCGACAGTGGTATGCTGCAAGCTGCAACTATCTAAGGTTTGAGTTATAATAATAATAACTTCCGACCTTACGGGACTGACAGTTCCGACAAATTTGTTTAAGCGTAGCTTAAAATCCATGGTAACGATTATTGAAACAATGGTTACCATAGATTTTAAGCTAAGCCATAAGTCGGTTTGGAAACTCTGTTTAGCACTGTAATGATACGCGCTACCTAGATTTAAAACGCACATTAGTGACTGATGATGACTCCCAACTTACATTAAACGACTTAATCATTTAACTATGTATGATGTGCCAAGCGAATGCACTCAACTTATGACAACAATATTTTAATTTTAGGAGTTGTATACGATGGCGAGTTTGACGATGGACAATACCATGGTGACGGCACACTTACATATCCAATGGGACATAAGTTTTATGGGACGTGGTGTCATGGTCGACTAATAAATTACAGGTTTCAATTTCCCGATTCGCTTGAATACGTGACCGACTGGAAGTATTGCAAAATGCCTGATCGAAGGTTTGCATTTTCGTCGCAGACCCTTGTAAAACCGTTTACGATTTTAGATATTTTGCTTGTATACAAGATGGGCTTCGCCCAGCCGGTAGATCGCTGTTGACTAATGATGAACCTCCTCCGAGACGAATTCCAGAAGGTTGCTACGATACGGGTGATGGATTTTATAATCCAAAAACCAAATGCGTCATGTCTGCAATACGTCCTGGACACATTATACGGTAGGTTTTTTTTCGTAAGGATGAGAGCTAGCCAATGATTTTTTTGTACTCCGTGGACTAAATCAACATATCAACTTCGTTTCGCGCAACAAACTGCATCCTCGAGATTAAAACACATACTTTGGTCCCTTGGTATATAATATACTATTTTTACGTTGGGTTAACAAATGGCGAGCAAATTGAAACATTTCAGTTATCGATTAGAAATGTCCATATTGTCACAGTAAAATGGAAACGAAAACCTCCTTCAATAGACAAATTTTGTGATCCTATGTCTCATTAGGGTGATTCGACCGAATTGAAACTTGCAAGCATACTCAAAACGTTCCAAGATATTACATCCGTAGTTTTTGATGTAGGGTCAATGATTCAGGAGGCAGAACGAGTTGAAGAAATTTGCGTATCAGCAAAATATCGGATTTCACGTTGGTTTTGTGGTTCCAGAGTGCATTACGAATATAAATAATTACCCAAAAACCGACGATAATTGCAATACTTTGCGAAGTGCGGAAAGTAGTCTAGTACTATGATGTAAAGCTTTTGTATAAAAGTATCTGGGAACGACCCAGGAGACTTTTTAAGTTTCAAATTAGGCCTCGGCATCTCAAAAAACATAGCAACGTTAGACCAATTTTGTTCCCATATTTATTACGGCTATACGATGTATCCCTTAGCTTTAATGATTTCCACTTCTCAACAGGATTCCCAAAAAGTCAGAGGAGGCCTGGATAATGCCGCATTGTCGAAAAGCATGGGACCAACCAACGGAGTATAACCCGAAATTATATGAAAAGTGGGTGTCTGGTAGAAAAGGGGAATGCGAGAAGCGGTAAATCTCCTTCCCTTACCAATCTACCGCCAAAATGGGATCTGGGGAAATTTTTTCCTACATTATATTATTATCTATATGTATTCAATTTTACATAAATATACATGTAATGCTCATGTATGAGTGTAATTAATGCAGTGATGGCTCTGCAAACTTGTCTAATTTTATCATCAGTTTAGGGAACGTTCCTGGGGATTTTAATACAGTTCATTAATGATTATTACAGCGCCTGAAAGTAAACTTTCGTCTTGAAATTTCAAGCCCTGTCTTCTCTTCTGGCACTCATGGTGATCACATAGGTTTTTGTGTCGCCAACGACGGTTGTTCAACCTGGGTATGTTAATAGAGTGGATTTTGGCAAATTTATTTGTAAAAATGCGACGAACTTTGGCTGCTCGCACATAGCCGGTGCTGGAGGAATTAAAACCCAATTATTGTTATTGTTCGAGTGTAATTTAATTAAAGATATTAATACAAAGTATCTTGTAATTCCTCAAGCGGTAGTCGGCGGCAAAACGGCGGTACAGGGAACGGACGGACGAACGGACTCGTGCGCCACCAGACGATAATCTCACGCCTGGACGTTGTCGGCGGTAATTACGGACGGACGGGTCGGTTTCGGTAGCCCCGAAAGTAGTCTTAATCGGAGATGATAATTCCAGGTATTCGGCGGTCAGGTCCAGCAAACGGCGGCGGTAATGTCTGGAACTCTAAAACAAAATATGGCCTACCGGCAAATTCCCTAGCGGAAAAAAAGTAATTAGGCACAACGGCGGTTGTTATAATAGGCAAATTCGGGAAAACGGATAAAATCAATTCCCCCCCTATAATTTAATCACTAAAACGGCTTACTTTCGAAAAATTTATATCGCGGTCGGAAACAGGCAAAAATATTAAACTTACGTCTGGCACGTAGACCGCAAAAGATGAAAGATGAGAAAAAGATCTCGTACGGTCGGTATAACGCTAAAGATGCAAAAGATTTTTATAAAGGAAACCCAATTTGGTAGAAGTGGAACAAGGAAAATCCAAACCGTAGCGTATTCAATACGAAATCGAAACCAGTCAATTCCATTTTTAATCAATTACTCGGCTTCTGTTCGTCCTAAAATTCCCGAACATCTGGGAATCGATTTCTTAATTAAGCGCGCAAAATTTGATACCACAATTGTCTCAATCGGCGCTCCTGTACTATAATTCATTTAATCAGTGCATGCTAATTATACATACTCAAAAGACACAACGGAAGCTCACCAACTCATTACATTAATTAACTGTACGAGTACGTATGTTAATTGCAAGTTTTCGGACTCAGTGTAGGTGGCGGTTATCTAATTTTTGCAGGCACAACGTTAACTGATAGCGGGCAAAACAACTCGCTTCGAAACTTGATATTATGGGGAACTAAAACAGCTTATAAACAATTAACGGCGCTGAAACCAAAACATATTAATTGTCCTTCATCTTCTCCAGAACAAGACCCTTCGGTGGTTACAAAAATAATTCCAAAATTCCAACATCAACGGGTGTAGGGGGACTAATTAATTGCGGTATCTCCTTGTCTCCATGGCATCGCAGAAACTTCTCAAAATTACGGTTTTCTATGTAACGAAGCTCAAACCAATGGTTACTATACAGGGTGGTACTTGTAAACGGCAAAATCCACTCAGAAACTCTGGATGCTTCGTTACAAAAAGGTAGCTTTTAATCTCACTTTGGCCGGCTGGCTGGCTGGCTGTCTGGCTGACTAACTGGCGGCGAATGCGAGCCAGTAGTAGAAAGATGAACAATATACATGAACCTACAGGGGTGGTGTAATTAATAACTTTAGGAAGGGGGTATATGATGTGGGGTCGGCGACATCTGGGCGCCATCCCTGAGCTTGTTATACTAACCTGGAGATTTTTCAGTTTTTTTTCTTCCACAGTTTTCCTCCGAATGTTTTCAAATTGGTGTCGTCGAAAAGATCACGTAAACGCGCACAACTCCTTTTCTTGGCCGAATGTTGATTTTTTTTTCGAAATTAGCCATCTTCGAAGGGTAGTCTACTTCGGGCGCCCAAAAGGTATCTTCCGCTGTGAATTTTGTCACGCGGTTTAAAGTTTCTTAAAGCTCGAATCGCAGTCTTTCTTTCTCGTGTCGCCAATGGATGTGCTATGAGAAGTGCCCTAAAAATTGAGTACAATTTTGTGGCGTGTTTTTAGAGGAATCCACCAAAACGCAATTTGCGGGTGAACGGGACGTCGGAAGCGGGTATCGGCAAAGGGAATGTGGTTACCCCAGACAAGATCTTATTGATGTCAAAACTGGCTAATCGAATACTGATCTGCGCTTAAGTCCCTTCGATCTCACACGAAGACTTTGATCACTTTTTTATGATTGAAAGCCTTCGCTTATTAAAGATTGCGACGTTTTAGTTACCAATCCGATCCTCCTTTCGCAATTAAGATCCCTCTCTGGTCGATGAAAACCACGCTAATTAGGAAATGAACTTTGGAAGGAAGTCCGCGCACAAATGGCATGAAAATAAATTATTTACAAATGATTGGAATTAAATCACACCAGCGGGCGAAAGAAACGGCAGTCGACGGCAACCTGGATGTGATGTCAGTGACAGAGGGATGGACGGACTCGAGCGCTACTAGGTTGGGCGCAATCGGTAGCCACAGAATTCAGAGGGCGGTTACATCCAGGGAAAATACAAAAACAGAATTACGGCACATGGATAGGGTAGAAATTGCGCTAATGGGAACACAAGCTGTTGCATAAAGTAGCTGTAGCTACGGGAAAAGCAGAGCAGTAGCCCCTTACAATTAACGGAGGAAGCAAATGCTTACCTTTAAAGTTAACGGAACGGTGATAAAATCTCAAAAATGTAAGTGAAAAATGTGCAAAAGCTATCTACTTTTCAATTACAACATCAAAGGCAACAAGATCGCCTCTAAACAATGACTTTACCTGTTACAACAATCAGCTATTTCATGAAGGGATCGACGATTTTCCAGCTGACATAGCATATTGATTACATCCAAACATTCAAACCTGTTTATTTAATTGTGTGGCCCGCGATAAACATAAATGTAATTGGTCTAAAAATTTAGCTCAATTAAGCGCGCTTCTAATAAAACCACTCATTGTTACTATCATTAGGTATTATTATTATTACACTTACTCAGTATTATCATTGAATAAAAATAGTGTTTTTATTCAATGGTATTATGTATTATGTAAATTTCGAAATGATGTTTTACAACAAGAGCACAAGTGGCAATGCTTATGGCTATATGTGTTTACTTTCTTTAGTTGCCCACCACTCAAAAGGCGATGGTTTAACCCTTGCCGTATCTAAATGTTTTATGTTGACAAACTAAAATTCTCAATAAATCCTGCAACTTTTACATACCTATCGTTTTTAAACACTTATCGCCTTGTGAAAATCGGCGAAAGCTAGTATAAGAATAACGTAAAGTTAGTTCGTCAAAAAGATTTGCGACAGTCGTTATGTTTTATTAATTAGGAGAAATAAGGACAAACATTTCGATTTTCCAGCATTGATAAATTTAACTGAATCTAGGGATGTAGGCACATTTATCAATTATCAAAACGAACGTATATGTCGACACAACCATGAAAGTTGGTTAACAATACACAATAATTAATTTCACTGTGAATATTAATTAGAGACAACTCGCGCAGAAACTATTGTAAATCGATGACTGCAATCCCTTTATCGCCAGAGGAATCCTATAGTGGAAACGTTACAAATAATGAATTGTAAGGAAACCCTCGAGATTAATTGGTGATCTACATGAAATTCCATCGTAGCTGCAGCGTAGAAACCAAATAACGTAACTCGGCGCCCTAACATTATCAGCGTTTCCATTTCCACAAAATTACAATATTTGCATATACAGACCCAGCGTTTGTAAAGTTTCCACTAAATGACTAACAGAATCAATAACAGAGGAAAAGTGCTTTTGTTCATAGCCGTCAGAGCAGTTAATTAGGTATTTACTCACACAGAAAAAGTGAAGTTTGTGGAACCCTAATTTTAGGATGGCTTTTGCCGCTTTTGAAAATTAAGTAAGGAGCTTTAAACTAGTTCTCTTGTTTGTAATAATAATGGTAAGCGGCTTTATTGCATTAGACTTATTTTTTTGTAAAAGTAAAAGAGAATGCTTTATAACAACATATAATAATAATAATAATAATAATAATATTTATTGTGCAGAAAGCTATACACAAAAGGTAGGAGTTCAGCTTATAGCTGTTCTTCCACTCCACCAAAAGCAACTGTTACAACAAATAGTAATTAGACAAGAGGTTACTTATTATGCCTACCTATATCTATACAGCATATAGTTGTAGCAAACGACTTTTTAATTTGTTTCTAATTGTAGGTACACTATTTCCACTTTCTAATATGGACATAAACTCATTTATTAAGCGAGGCGCTAAAATGGCAAATGCACATTTGTAGCAAACGACTTTTTAATTTGTTTCTAATTGTGGGTACACTATTTCCACTTTCTAATATGGACATAAACTCATTTATTAAGCGAGGCGCTAAAATGGCAAATGCACATTGGTACTTAGAAGTACGGTATGGGGGTAAGTATATTATAGAAATACTTATGCCTAGTATTCACACAGTGCAAATCGGACCTTAATTGTAGTAAGTCGTACAGGTAATTTGGATTTTTATGACGTACTACATTATATAGAAGCATGATATATTGAGACGTGAGTGATTCTTTCATTTTAAGGATAGAGTATCTATAATAAAACGGAGTTACATGGTATCTAAAGTTAACATTAAAAGAAAAACGTAAGCAAGAGTTTTGCAGGAGCTGAATTTTGTACTTTAATTCACCAGTTAGGAAAGGGTAGTATACAGCACAACAATAGTAAAAGCGAGTTAATATTAAATTTCGAACAAGAGACCATTTTATAGTAGCTGGCAAAATCTTCTTAAAACTATAAAAGTGCTTAAATTTAACAAATGATGATTGTAACATCATTTTAGTATGTTT